ACCTACGAGACGCGTTTGCTGTGCATTGGCCTCGGCTGGTCGTTGGGACGAATCCTCTGCAGCAACGGACACCGCCTCATTCGAGGTTTGCTATATTTGTTTTGTTTTTACACTTTACTTTCCAGTTTCTCAGTTGTTCTTCTCCTCTGGTCCACCCAAACTGCCACGTTTTCATTGACCCCCCCTAATGCATTTGTTACCTACAATAATATTCCTGTTCCCTGTAACATGTTCATACGTTTATTAACGAAGATTCACTCATCGTCAACTGTATGCAAACATGTATTCTACATGTAGACGTAGATGCACGTACGTATGCGTATTGGTGTAGTGCATTATATATTGGCGACTGACGTTTATATTCAGTTGTCAGCGGCTGTGCGCAACTATATGAACATATTTGTCTGTTGGCTGGCCAAGCATTTGTTCATATTAAAATGCATTTGCTGCAACTGTTTGGACGTGCAGCGCTTAGCAGCCCTTCGTTTCACTGGGACGGCGCTTACCACTCTATACAGGCTAGTTTGCTGCCGGTGAGTCCCTTTTGTTTTGATATTTCTCTGTAGTTCATTACTATATCTTCCGATAGTTCATCTTTTGAACAGAAGGAGCAGATTGCGTGCATTGCAGTATGCGTTAAAAACACAGCACGCAGTGCATTGTACAATATTTTTGTGGGTGACGGAACGGAGAGCAAAGGCAAAAGAGCGCAGTTTATGCGTTGCCTGTGTTTGGCAGATGTTTCTGCACTTCGTCCACAGTTATTTCGCAGCGAGTTATTTTCTGTACAACAAAACTGTACACACTTGGGTGTGCAGTTGTTCAACGTGTGCTGCATACTCCATCGCTTATTACTTGTCATGTTTGTTTCGTCTCAGTTGTCGTATTTATCTACCACTGCCCTCATCTTTATTTCTTCTCGACGCCACTTGCCTCCCAAGTCCCGGGCGGGTTTAGTCTTCCTGGCAGCCCTCCTGGCCCCGTGGACGTTAGTGCAGCAGTACGCTATCCAACCCTCTAGATTAAAGCGACTCCAAGGGCACTGAACGCAATTTTTGATGTTATTTTCGTTAGAAATTGTGTTTTTAATTCTTGAATTCGCTAGCCGCTTACTGACGCGGGGCTCGCTGATGTCCCCTGCAGTGCCGGACGAGTTCCAAACCAAGCCCTTCCCTGAATCGCCACCGAGCTGCCAACTCTTCCGCANCCTGCAGTGCCGGACGAGTTCCAAACCAAGCCCTTCCCTGAATCGCCACCGAGCTGCCAACTCTTCCGCAGCTCTCTCGTCTGCGAAATCCTCCGTTTGCTCGCAGCTTTTTGCTTTGTTTGTTCGGGGCCCTTCTGGTTTTGTTTTGAGTTGTCCTTCAGATCTTTGACTGTTGCGTTTTCGTTGCGGATATGCGTTCAGGCACAGTTTAGGTCTCTATAACTCGGCGCAGCAATTCCTTGACGAGGAAATAACACCGGCGTGCTGGATTTCTCTGGTCCTGCATGCGGTTGTCTCGGTTTCAGTTGGCATTACGACGTACTTAAGCCTAAATGGCGGCCAGGGGAAGCAGAAATTGGCATCAGCGTCGCAAAAGACGGAATAATTCGACCCTGTACAGCACAAGCTTTAGCTTTCTACAAAACGACTGCGAACCCGTCGTTTCGTTTCCCCCTGGTGCCCGAAAACGGCCCCGCTGCTACTGAGTACAGATGCTGCAACGCCGCCCGATGCAGACGGACGAGTGCTGCACAGGCACTCGGGCAGTCCATTTCGTTGCGCTCGTATGCATTTGCTAGTGCTTTGTTATTTGTTGTTATTAGTTGTATTTTCTCATTTACATTTGACTAATAGCCAACCACCTTGCTTTGTCGCCTTCTGTCTTAGTGTTTTGCTTTTCTGGCATCACTAACTGTGTGGTGCTCTTACGTTCGGCTTACGCTGAAGACTCAACAGGCTACAATTTGCCTTTTTGAGCTGTCCGCCGGTCGTAACATGCATGTGCCCGCCCGTCTGCGGTACTCGCGTATGGCAATAGATCACCTGTGCGTCTTAATTGCGAAGTTTAATATTCTTTCGCTATTTGAGTAGAGAAGGACACTCAGGGCGTTGGCTTGCGACACTGAACGGTGCAGAGTATTCTGTTCGAAGTTGGTACATTGACTTCTACTTGCGTACAGCGTTAGTGCACGCAACAAAGGGGGCATGGTTCTGCGTGCACTGCGTGCAATTGAGGGTGCCTTCCACAACTACACACAGCAAGGTGCCTTGTAACACATGTGAGGCCGTTAACTTTCCGCACCTGCCCCAGGCCATTGAGCTCACAATTGGGCTCACCATTGGGATCCTGTGCCCAGGAGCCCTGGGGACAGGAGGGAAGGCCAGCTGCGTTGGGGGGAACTATAATCCAAAATATTGTACTCTATTGTTGCCTGCGACGGTCCTCAGCTAAGATTTAGGACTCTACATTTGGTAGCACCGCATGGTTCATCAGGGCAGGCTCGAGCAGGGCACCTACGCTGTATCGCACAGCGCGAAAAATGCTTCTTCAGCAGCTCCAGCTCGTGAAAAATGTTTCCGCTGTTGTTCACCTTCCAGATGTGACGGGCGCCGTGGAGACAGAAGAGCTCCTTCCTTCTCTCGAATGACGCTTTCGTCTTCAAAGTGCGCCGAAGAGCTACAGGTGCAGTCGGAATTTTCGTTATTGTGACAATGATGACACCGGTGGTTATGCATAAGCAAGCAAACCACGTCTCCATGGCGCATCCGGGGTTGAGGGCTGCCCGAAATGCGCTTGGATGCATGTTTGTTCTTACGTCGGCAGTGGAGCAGGCGATTGCGGAA